ATTACTACTGCTGCTGCTGTTGCTATTACTACTGCTACTGCTGTTGCTATTACTACTGCTGCTGCTGTTGCTATTACTACTGCTGCTGCTGTTGCTATTACTACTGCTGCTGCTGTTGCTATTACTACTGCTACTGCTGTTGCTATTACTACTGCTGCTGCTACTGCTGCTATCACTATTGCTGCTGTTGTTGCTAATACTGAGCTATTGTTGCTGCTATTACTGCTGCTGCCGCTGCTGCTGTTATTGTGGTTCATGGATATAATAATAATAATGATATAATAACTATAAGCGCTCACCACAAATCAAATTGCGAATGTGGACAGCTCTTATAATCCTTAGCTCCAATAAACAGTCTTGCTAACCACTTTGTATTACAATCTGTATTAATTACACTTTGTAATACAATTTGTTTTACAATAATCCTTGGGCCGTTATTCAACAACAGTAGGGTTACATTATTGTATCTATTATTGTTGCTGCTGCTTTCAATGATTTGTTTGCTCGCGTTTGCGCAAAACAGCTTATATTTATCGCAGTACGTGGCGATATGCCCGGCAGCCAGGCACGGTCTTCGATTTCCTAAATGCCCGGCAGTCCACATCCACATCCATGCACGCACATCCATGTATGCATGGCACATCCATAATACATAATTCCAATAACCCTAAATAGCCGAGCTCGTACAGCATAAGCGTTGCGTCTGAAGGTCGTTGGTTCGAATCCCATCTGTTTCGTTTTTATTTTTTTATTTTTCTATCTTTATCCATTTAACTATTTTTTTTAAATTTAATTTAATTTATTAGTGTTAATTAAATTTAATTAGGGTTAGGGTTAGGGTAAGTCAGAAACATCTAAACGAGCCAGGTCAAACAGAGGTCAAACTGTTGCCACAGCGTAGGACTATATATAATATATATTATTTATGTGCGTTACTTTAGAATCCATACGGCCGTTGTCAGAAACATCGTAAAGCGGATGCTAATGTTAATGCTAAGATAGCACTTACGACTAATGTTAATGTTATTATTGTTACAAGAATAGCGTTGGCAGATCGCTGTGGCTACGGGTACGGCAGCCGTATCTTAATGTCTCGAGGCGGGAGGTACGGCAGTCCATTCGCTTTCATACTTAACGAGACAAAGATGGCGGCGGGTGGCGCCAGATTTCGAAATAACGCCTTGGGAAATCAATTCACGATTTGAGAGTTTAGATGAGCTAGAACCCTAACCCTAACGCCAAAAAGGGGCTTCAACGAACGACGGCTGCCGTACCTCCAGCCACTGCGTTGACCGAAACGCATCGCAGCTATGGGAAAATTTACGTCCGATAACAGCCACTGGCAGCAAGATCAAGCCCGCACGTACAGCACACACGCGCGCCATTGACTATATATATACAACGTTGTATCACCTTTATTGTACATCACAGCAATCTATGCATATTATGATGGACGGTTAACCACATTATCATATAAATAATATCTAATGAAAAGTTCACGTTCTGCACAGCAATACAAGAAGCGCGTGTCATGACTCATCACAATATCCAAAACAAGACTCAGAGAACAAACGCCACTTGTACACGTTCATAGATCGTTCATAACACGTGTTATATGAGATATCAAGAGTACATAATCTCTATTATGTACTCTTGATGATATCACTGGTACACGTTTGGTCTTGGTTTTGTTTCTGACAACGAACCCCATGCACGTTAGTGTGGTATAAAATGCTTTATGTTTGAAACCTCTTCAACGTTCATTTTTAAACGTTAGATCAGGAGATAATACATAACATATAGTAATTATTAGTTTCAATTAAAATTATTTTGACAGGTAAATAAGTGGCTGAAAGGAGTACACAAACTTTTTACGCTATTTCGAATTGATCTGCAATGATTTTTCTAGATGCATACAAAAAACATATAAATATTAATTAAAGATATTTGACAGGTGTATTTGTTCAATCTGCCTACTATTTTTCGTTGGTTTTAAAAGTTAAATTATTTTGCCATATATATGTTACATTTCATGTTTCATAAACATAGTAAAGGCATAAAACTATGCACGTATCGGTATGAGTAATGTAAGTGTGTGGCTGCGTGAATGCATCTAGGCGCTCGCGCGCGTATGTGTGAGTGTATTGCGGCTTTACCCACCCAACCATAGAAATATATAGAGACAGCGTCTATCTATATTATTTCTATGCACCAACAAAGTTTTTGAAAAATCAACTACTTTCAGAGCATTCAACAACCCAGTAAATGCATTGGCCACGAGTGCTTGCTGTGAAGAAATGAGCGTTAAACTGGGAATTTATTGTAAGAATACACGAATTTCACAACATCGTCACGCCAGCAGCTAGAGTGCTTCGTGTAGACAGAATAACGACACCTACACACTTCGCGTGTTTCGTGCCGACCTGAAACCTGACGGATAGCGTGACAAGTACTAGCTCATTAACTCGCCAACTTTGTACTACACAATATCTACGATGCCTGCGTGAACGTACAAACAAGGTACGGTAGATCACAGCTAGGAAACCTACAAAGCAACTAATTATGTATTCTTCGCTTATGGGTCAACTCGCCAAATTCAACCCCCCCCCGCGCAGTCAACCAACCAAGGGCAAATCGCCCACTACGATGCACACGTATAGGCCTACTGAGCGCGAGTAATGTGGCTAAGATTGATAGGACGGTAATATAAACCTAACAATTTGACCTATTTATCTACGTATATTATATAGGTACATATATATCTACAGGTATGATTACCTTCTCCAGTTATACAGTTGTATGAGGTTTGCACAATGTAAGTGATTTGAGTACAATCCGTAGTTTATATCATTATACTACATGTATACTACGAAACAACAATACATAGGTGTGCAATGCATGCGCCTAGTATACATAAGTTCATGTTTATGTATAATAACACCTGGAATGAAATGAATTGTTGACCCGACCATCGATACTACAATAATATCAAACGAATGAGTGCAGCCAGTGTTATATGAGATTCATGGGAAATCTCGTAATCCCTCATAGCAAGACAAATCGAGACGAAATTAGTATGAAATGTTGTAGCTTACGTGCCCACATGGATACATGTATACTATGCTAATAGCTCTAGTAGACACATGCTAAAGGCTCACGTATATAAGCAATACAAGGGCTCACAGGCAAAAAACGCCACGCACACCGGCAACGTACGTAAACGTTACAATCAAACGTTTTTCACAATACTAGCTTATAATCGCTTTCAATCTGGACGCTGCTTTAATCTCCAGCACCAGTTGGAAATGTCGCTGCTGCTACTATACAAGTCGAATCTGTGTGAACGACCGCACATGCAACGAAATTAAACGTCCTTTTACAGGAAATTAAAATATTAACGTATACGCGGAACATCATATTAGTAATTAGACATATCACTGCAGCTAAACTTCATCACAAATACTGACTCCTTAGATTTATTATCAAAATAGGTAAATGTCAGAAGCACTAAAAATACTTATATATGTATATATATATAATATATTCACAGTACAAATATTACAAACAATCTAATAAATATGCAAATCACAGGCCGAAAACCTTACATTACGCCCCGATTACCCCGATTACATAATGATTTCATGTGCTGCATTACTTTTAATACGAGTGACTAAAATTTACATTAAACTATACATGAAATTAAAATATCGCATCATTCTGTGCGTGATTGCCATACATAGTCATAGTTTATTGAAAAATATCTGCCAATTAATAGCTGTTGGTAGTTACAACACATTGGTAATATTGTGAGTTTAACTTAGTTATACACGCATGGAGGCAGGCCAGTGTGAATGCGAAACGTAAAACGACATGTGTAGGATAAATTTGCTACGCTCGCCTCCTTGCACCTCTTGTTTTCTCCCTGCTTATACTTGGTCTGTGTATATATGTCACTGAACACACTCGTTCGTGAGCATCACAAACCACGTAGCTAGATTCACTATATCTCCACGCTTGCTATCGTCTCCTCTGCGACCCTATTGACACAGAGAGCAAATATAGAGCAGACATAATCACAACTATTCACTTCACCCCATAACAAAAGAGAACTGCAGATAGAAGCACCTGTTGTAATCGACAACTGCATCGATGCATGTATATCCTGATACACACACACATGTATACACACACGCACCGTGTTGTCAAATCATACGCATAACCACTGGGGTTGACACGAAATGTCGTCAGGTCCACTAGCGGCTCACTGATATCTGTGATGATGGCAGCTGTGCACGCATTTGCTGGTCTGCCGATGCTACCATGGAGCTGAAGAGGGACTTCTTGTCAGCGAGCAAAGTTTGTGGCGTGTCAAACTCAGCAACCTGCAAGTGTGCATGCAGCTGATGTTACAGATTGTCTACCAATAACAAGCTACCACGCTAGCTGGTGATGACACGTAGCTGTGCTGCGTGACCTAATCATAATCCTAGCCTTAACTCTAAACATAACCCCGGCTATATTCTATTATATTAAATTATATTATATTATATTATATTAATACTATACTA